CTTCTGTGCTGGAGACACCCCTCTGGGGCACAGACTTGCTTCAATGGGGCTTTGGTGCTCACTGAGTCTGCCCCCTGAGTGTGTCTTTTATGGTTCCACGGAGCTGCAAACTGGATGGTCCCAATCTGACCTCTGGGCTTCCTGGCTCCTGGATCTCTAGGGAGGTGCTAATCTAGCCTTTGCCTGTGGCTAGCCAGCAAAAGCCTCCCTGCAGGGCTTGGGCGGGGCAGGTCCCACAGGATCAACAGGGCGGGGCTAGCAGTTATGGCTGCTCTCAGTCTTGCCCTCAGAGGCTCTGCTTCTCAGTGTCCCGGTAATCCCTCCAAGCCCCTCGGAGAGAAAGCTGCCCTCGGGTCTGACAAATGCCAGACAGTCCCGCTTCTCCCGTATGAGTCTGGGTCCCTAGAGACTCGCCCGGAACTGGAGCTCAGAGCCTGAGACTCCCTCCCGATTGAAAACGACAACTGTGTCCTCAGCCGCCAGCCCGCTCCGCATGCACTCCGCACCTTAGTATTTTACTTCCGCACTGCGCCTCCTCTGAGTCTCGGTATGCTTTTCTCTTTCCTTCTAGTTGTAGAATTTCCACTCAGCCAGCCTTCCTGTGGTTCTGGATGATGTCCTTTCTGTCTTTTAGTTGTATTTTTGAAGTGGTTGTTCGAGGCAGCAAACTCCGGTGTTTACCTCTGCCGCCATCTTGGTTCCCATCCACCTGCCTTTTCTTTTCCTTCTCTTTTCTTCCTTGTCTAGACTGGTGATGCTGATCTCTGATGAGAACATCATCTCACCAAAATGGCAATTTACTGTTACTCTTCCTGGAACAACCAATCTGATAGTTGCACTTTTTCCCCTGAATCATACATTGATGTAAAAATGAAAAGTTGGGCCTTGGCTGGGTGGCTGTTTGTTGAAGTGTCATCTCATGCACGAAAAGGTCACGGATTCAGTTCCCCATCAGGGTACATGCCTAGGTTGCGGGTTGAATCCTTGGTCGGGGCACATACGGGAGGCAACCAATCGATACTTCTCTCACACATGGATGTTTCTCTCTCTCCCTCTCCCTCTCCCTCTCTATCCCCCTCTCCCTCCCTCCCTCTCTCTAAAATCAATAAACATATCCTCAGGTGAGGATTTTTTTTAAAACTTGGAAGAATGAACTTCTTGAAAGTGGAAAAGAGAAGAAAGAAACTGAATCAAATACTTAAAAATCATTGCCATCCTCTGATTCTAAAATATGGGCTTTAATCTTTATTTACTTTCATGCTTGTTGGTCCAGTAAGAGCTATTCAGAAGCAGTATTGACACATAACAACAGAAAATATTGCTATTTTTATAGGTCATTTATGAGCTAAATTTACATCTATGTTTTGAGAATTAGTAATGAAATAAATGTAACCAAAATCAATACATTCTGTTTCAGTATTGATTCCTTTCTTCTGATTGGTCATTCCATGTGCACCCTAAAGCAGAGGTCAGCAGGCTTTTCTTGTAAGGGGCCAGAGAGTAAATATTTTAGGCTTTTCTAGACGGACGGTCTCTATCTCTCCTCACTCCACTATTATTGTGTGAAAGCAGCCACAAATAATATACAAACAACTGGTGTAGCTATATTAAAATAAAACTTTATTTTTGAATACTAAAAATTGAATTTTATACAATTTTCACATGTCACAAAATATTCTTTTTATTGTTCAACTAAAGATGTAAAGGTCATTCGTAGCTCGAAGGCTATGCTGAAATAGGCTGTAGATGGGATTCGGCCAGCCCTGTTGGAAGGCTTTGGTGGAACAGCCAAATGAAACATCTTCAGTTTCACTTCAGGCTCTGGGAGGAAGCAGTCGTATTCTCTTACTATCAGACACATGAAAATCACCATTGCCTTTTGAGCAAGATTCTAAGCTTTACCTAAAATCACATACTCTAATTAATTGGTGAAAATGTTGAAAGAGATAAGGTGTGCCATGTGCTTTGAGCAGAATAAGACCTCCATCTTCATCTGTTCCAGCTGCTGTAAGATAATAGCACAAGCTGGGGGCTCGTGCACAGCAAGCATTCTTCACTGCTCACATTCTGGAAACTGGGAGCCCAAGGCAAGGGTGCGAGCATGGCCAAATGAGGGCTGTCTTCCAGGTCTCAGACTTGGAATTCTCACAGGATGGAAGGGGCTAGGGCGCAAGCAATGCAGAGTTTCCTTTATAAGGCCACTAATCCTATTCACGAGGGCTCCACCCTCATGACCTAACCATCTCCCAACAGCCCCATCTACTAATACCATCACCTTTGCGGGTTAGGATTTCAACACATAAATTTTGGTGGACACAAAGTATACATAGTGGCCTCTAAAAATGACAGTTCTTTATTTCTTCAAATAAGTGTCCTTAGGCACCACTGTCTGCTCCGCCTGCTGGACACAGCAGTGAGCATGCACTTTGTAGTTCAGCTTTGGGGAACATTTACTCATCTCTCTCTCTTTTTTTAATCCTCACCCGAGGAGGATATGTGTATTGATTTGAGAGAGAGAAAAATAAATAAATAAATAAATAAATAAATAAATAAATAAATAAATAAATAAATGTGAGAGAGAAACATGAATCAGTTGCCTCCTGTATGCACCCCGACCAGGGATGGAACCCACACTGTTTTGGTGTATGGGATGATGCTCCCACCAACTGAGCCACCAGCCAGGGTGCGTTGGAGAACTTTATTTCATGGGTGTTTGAGTCATCCTCTGAAGTGCATTGTGTCTGCTGCGTGATGGTCCAAGTAACATATGGAGATGCTTGGTTACACAGCTATTCTAAAACCTCTCAACTCCTGTCCAGTGGCATTTCCTGTTTAAAGTATCTGCCCTGGCTGATTTGGCTCAGTGGATAGAGCGTCGGCCTGTGGACTGAAGGGTCCCAGGTTCAATTCCCGTCAGGAGCACATGCCCGGATTACAGGCTCGATCCCCAATGGGGCCGTGCAGGAGGCAGCCGATCAGTGATTCTCTCTCATCATTGATGTTTTTATCTCTCTCTCTCTCTCTCTCTCTCTCTCTCTCTCTCTCTCTTCCCCCTTCTCTCCCTTCCTCTCTGAAACCAATAAAAATATATTTTTTTTTAAAGTATCTGTCCCTTTCTGGCAGTGCCTGAAAGAGGGGTTGGGGCTTTCACTTCCGGAACTTTGGGTCAAGGTTGCAGTTTTACCCACAGCACTTTTTCTTGCAGGTGCATGCTGCGCGTCCTGGACTCTTTCGGCACCGAGCCGGAGTTTAACCATGCCAGCTATGCCCAGTCCAAAGGCCACAAGACCCCCTGGGGAAAGTGGAATCTGAACCCGCAGCAGTTTTACACCATGTTCCGTGAGTATTCCTCTCTCGCACCTGCCTTTTAGAATGCTGCCACAGACAAATGGGGAAAGAGAGTAGATGGCATGTATTTGAGCCTATGATTCCCAGGGCCCTGAGTTGTAGAAATATGTGCCTTGGGAATAATGGAATTTTTTCTTAATTACTATCAAAGGCTATGTGAGCACTTAGAAGTGTTCTGGAGAAAAATGTTTCCACAGGATATATCAGGAGAAACCATAGGGAAAGGGCTTTGGGTCCACTTTGGGTTGGCAGACACTACACCTGTTCCCTGCCCCACAGGTGCTGTGTAGGGTCCACTTGATTAGAGACAAGGAATGGGGTCTTCTGTGGCCACACATTTTCCAAATAAGCAAACCTTAATTACTTACGCATCAAATTTTGCAAAGAAAACTGTTAGCCTTTTTAAAATGGAACTTTTATTTTATTTTTGACTCTTGAGTGACAGACAGAGGAAGGGAGAGAGAGAGAGAGAGAGAGAAACATTGGTTGTTGTTCACTTATTGATGCATTCAGTGGTTGATTCTTGTATGTGCTCCTGCCAGGGATCATACCTGAAACCTGGTATATTTGGATCACCCTCTAACCAACTAAGCCACCCGGTCAGGACCTAAATGGAACTTTTTAAAACTGTTTCATACTTACCAACTTCTTAAACACGGACTCAGAAGGAAATCTCACTTCTTTTGTTCACGTGGTGTTATTGTCGCCAAGAGCAGTGGTTATTTTAGGAGGAGATGTACTGGACACACTGAGAGATGATACACTAACTGGCCCTTGCTGTGGGTCAGGTTCTGTATTGGTTTTTCTCCCACTTCCTTACTACTATCAGTTTACCTCATTTCATTTAAAATTAGCAGAATACTGTGAAGCCAGATTTGATAGTGTTCAGCAAAGAGCAGGTATGTTGTCTGAGTCAGTAGATCCCGGTGATGACATTCAGGTGATGACATTCAGTTCCGTAAACAAAAGGTCACCTGAGTAAGATAGTTCATTTGTATGCTCAGAGTGGAGAATTCCCATTTTCCAATATGATCAGAACATTTTAATCCATCTGTTGCCCCTGCCCTGCCTCTTCCTACATGGTTGCCTCACCCCCTTTTCTGCAGCCAGCAGAAGATGATTCTTTTCTCAGGTCATCTAAATGTAGCAGCAGACACATGGGACTAATCCCTCGGTATAAGGTATGAGAAGAGAGAATTGAGAAGAGTTCCTTTTAAAATCAGCTCAGAGAGAGCTGTGAGAGCGTGTTCTGTGCATGGTAAACGTGACTGTTCCTGGAGCAATGCATCCTGTCCCTGGGACACAGTTTAGGGGACAAAAAAATATAGGGCTTGTTGGGTGATGGATGACCCGTCAGCATGGTATAAAGCATGTGTAACTTTGAGGAGCTGGGATGAGGTCATACAAAATAACCTAAGAAGTAACCTGTGTTATGCCAAATGGAAAAATGTTAGCTATGTCTAAAGTGGCCGGAATTGATATGTATGCCCTCCACTGGATGGAGTTTTTCTAATCCCAGGAGGTGGGAATAAGCTTTTTCAGAAAGTATTATAAAGTTCTCTTATAGAATGTTGGAATTCAGAGTCCTGAAAAACACATTTTGTTGTACATAAATGGAGGATTTCCACAGTGTGGGTTGAATTGAAAGAAATTCACTGCTTACAGTGTAACTAGAGATGAAGACAGATTAATTCCTGTTCCCTGGGAAGTATGTGTGTCCTAATTGACTCTCATTCAGCAGGAATCAAGGGGAAAACTGGTACATTAGACAGCCCTTAAAAAAAAAAGAATGTGTATGTCAAAAACAATAACACCACAAGCAAATTCTTTAGCAGAGGGTTAGTATCCCTAATATATAAAGAACTTCTAAAAATAATGAGTAAAAAGTTCTACAATCCAGTATGAAGATGGGCAAAAGCTATTACCGTTTCAGAGGAAAATGAAATGTATTACCTCAAATATATGAAAATATAACTTCACTCACAATAGAGAAATGTGTTTTCAAACTGCACCAAGATACCACGTCCCACATATCAGATTGGCCAACGTTCAAAGTTTGCTAGCCCAGCCATTCCAGTGGCGAGGCCCAGGGACAGCAGCCTGCTCTCACCCTCATACTGGGGGGTAGGTGTCACCACCTCGCAGAACTGCCAGTGCATCTTTCCTTGCACTGAAGAGATCCTGTCTAGGAACCTATTCCAAAGGCAGGTAAGGGAAATAGAAAGAGGCCTGTGCAAAGGCTGTTTATTGGGCACTATTTGCAATACAGACTAGAAATAACCTGAATGTTCCCAATAGGGGACTGAGTGAATAACAGGGTCTGTGGACAGAGTCTAGGATCTATCTATAATAATCTATAATAATAAAAGCATAATATGCTAATTAGACCAGACATCCTTCCGGATGTCCTTCCTTCTGGACAAAGCCGCGGTGGGCAGGGGCTGTGGCAGAGGTGGTAGAGGTCCCCAGCCGTGGGGGCAGCAGTGGTGGGCAGGGGCTGCAGCAGAGCCCCTGGCCGTGGCCAAGGCCCTTGCATGAATTTCGTGCATCGGGCCTCTAGTTAAGTGATAAAAACCCAAGTGCAGGGCTGTGTGTAGACCTCTCCCTTGTATATAAGAAGGGTATGGAGGAAAGATGTATAAATACAGCCGTGTATATAAATTTGCTTATATTTTCAAAAGAAATAAAGGAGTAATAAATAAGTTAATACAAATGACTATCACTGGAGGGGGGTGTGTAGGGTCAGGGGTGGAAAGTAGATGTCTCTTAATGTACCTTCTTTCCACTTTAGAACCATTACTGTTTTATATAACCTAAAAAGAAAAACCAAAGAGGGAAGTATTCACTAATAACTGAAACAGTTTGAAAAAAATAAACCTAGTGATTTATCAGGTGCTGTCACTCTCTCATGCAGAGAAAATACTCATTTCAAGTGACTTCAAAACAGTCTTTGGATTGTACATTTATAGTGGGAAACATTTATATTGTTATTTAAAAATATTCCAGGTATACTGTAGGAGCCAAAATTTTCGGAATATAAGAAAGGGGACGTATTTAAAGAATTTAAGTAAAGAGTGTATAATATCCAACTTGAATAAGAAATATCAATAGTAGTATGAAATTTTTCTCTTTAAAAAGACCATGTTTCCCAGCTCTGTACTTTTAAAGGATCAAAAGTAAAAATGACTCACTAGCACTCAGACTAGGATTCCCTAAACACTTTCCCACTAAAAGGAACCCCTGCTTAGATAAGTAGTTGGTTCCCGGACTAGGGCAGGGAAAGTGCAGGATGGGACATCCTGGGAGCTGAGGCCAACCAGGGGTGGGGTCAGAGGACGCAGGAGCCGGAGATAGGGTAGTCAGAATATCAAAATGAATAATCACTGCAGTGGATTGAAATCAGACCAATGACAAATAATCCAGGAGTCCATGATACTTCAAATGAGGAAAACCCACAAAATCAATCGGTCACCTTTGCAAGTCGCTAGGATACATCTTCATTACCCTGAACAATACGGGGAAAGAATTCCACTTTGATCCTGATTTTCTAAGACAAATTGTATTTGACGACAATCAGATAGTTGATGAGAGAAAGTTGTTAATCATGGAGAAATCACAGCTAATAAATGCAAAAGGGCCCAGGAATTAGAAACTCAGCATTGTGTAGCCGCTAATGAGATAATGGAGCGAGGCAGGATCCTCACTGGCTGCTAAATCCATCAAGTAACAATTGGTGGGAAAATTCCCCACGGATGAGGCTGTCTTCAATGGAGGAACGAGGGGAAGGAAGCAGCTTGAGATGTTTTATCATGTTGCGATGTGTCCGTTGAAGAATTTGCAGCAGCAAACAGTGAGCCTGCACCCTGCTTCCCAGAACTGCCCTCAGAGAACATGGGTGCATCTTTGGGAGAGGGGCTCTTCCCTCCCCCATGACAAAGGGGTGGGGTCCAGTCCAGTCCAGCCCTGTCTTTCCCACAAAATCTCTAATTACCTCACCCTTTGGAGAAAACGTGGCTGTGCTAGTGGTCTGAAGTGCAGGTTTCCTGGTGCTTAGCTTATGGGCTGATAGTAATCACTTCATAATCGATGTACAAATATGCTCGTGTATTGCGGGTACACTTAGACTGTTGTCCATTGTAAAAAATTAGACGACGCGGAGGTAGAGTGTTGTGCTTATAGGATCAACTGTTCAGGTCCAGCTGCCTGTCTGTCTGTCTTTGAGACAGAGTACGTTCTGGCACAGGTGGCGTGCAGAGCGGGAATGGGCAGGCCTGGTCGGAGGCGAGCAGGAGGGCGGAGAGAAAATCGCACAGGATGAAGCATTTGTAGGAGCAGTGAAATGAGGTGCTCCTGACCCGACTGCATTGGCTCTCAAATATTCAGAGCTGTTTCTATTTCTACTCTAACTCATTGCCTCACTAAGTTGGCAGAGTTTCTACAAGTTGAAAGCCCAGTGTTTCTTTACTGTTTTGCCCTCCCAGTAAACCTCAGACCTTCCCTGGCACCGTCCTCTCCGTGTATCCTGTTGGAGGTGGGCCAGCACAGCCCGTTTCTGATCTCTCCCCGGCAGCTCTGCAGGGCCCAGCCACTGGTCAGACAACACGGATCTGCTGAGTGTCTTTTCCCAAGAAGCTGAGAGGTCCAGTGGCCCCTGGCTTCTTGTCCACACTCTAGCTGGCCCCTGAGCAAGGCACGATGACCTCCTTCCTGCCACCAAGCTACTCCTCCTCGAAGACCATGGTGCCTTCTCTTTCCCCACTGAGTCAGGGCCACAGTTCATAGCAAAGCATTCAAGACCTGTGTCTGTCAGGCCCCTGCCCCTTTTTCCCCCACATGCCCCTCCCCAGGTCCTGGCCCAGCCTCCCAGAGGCCTGCTGGTCTGGAAGGTGCCGCCCAGATTCCTCACCACTCCTGCCTCCTTCGAATCACCCTGAGAGCAGAATTTTTTAAGGGTCTATTTTTAATGTCTTTCTCCATCTTCCAATGAAATT